AAGCCACCTAAGCAAAAGATGTCACTCCACAGAAGCACCCCAGACCATTCCAGAGAAGCCATGTGCCCAAGTTGGACACAGGGGCTGGACAATGGGTCAGCAGCCCCCTCCCATGTCTGCTTCACAGGCTTGCAAAGGCAGCAGCTTGATGTCAGGGTTTGGATGCATGCAGACTTTCTGGCTCAGCATCTCGAGGAGACAAAGCCAGGGGCTGCACTTCTATAGTCACAGAGCTCCAGGAAGAATTGGCATCCATGAGCACCCTGTCACACAGAGTGAACCTCACTGAAAAGACACACTGTCCCAAACCAAAGGAGGAGCCAACACAACAAAAGCTATCCCAGGAACAACAGAAGAAACGATTCAGCATAAAATACATGTAAATAAAGTTTTTTGTTTGTTTAAAAAGGTTCATGCTGGGTATGGTGGCCTACACTTGTGTTCTGGGCACTTGGGAGGCAAAGGTGGGTGGATCTCTATGATTTTGAGGCCAGCCTGGACTACATAGTGAGTTCTAGGTCAGCCAGGGCTACATAGTGAGACCCTGTCTCAAAAAAGAAAAAGAAAGAAAAGTTCATGGTGAGCAGAGGCAGCCTAAGTTACCCATTAAGTTCCATGCCAGTCTGGGCAGCTTCAAGATACCCAGCCTCAAAATAAAAGGGGTGGGGGGGACAGTAAGGATAAGGCTCAGTGATAGAGGGCTTGATTGCATGAACAACACCCTGGGTTCAAGCACCAGCCCTGCAAACAAAAGAAAGCCCCTCCCCCCAAAAAGAATGTGGCATGGGTAGAATACTTGCCTAGCATGTTCAAGGCCAGGAGTTCAAGTCTAAAAGCACATACAAACAAGGATTTCATCTGGGCATCATGTCATGGCAATCAAACTTTCCCAGATGTGTTTCATCTGGGCCCTCAAAGATTAAGGACAAGCTGTCCCTGCTGTTCTTTCCTCCCTGCCATCCTCGACCTTCAGACATGCCAGTTACTGTCCCCATAGAATGTGGGAGGGCCACCGCACTGAACCCACCTCTTTGAAAGTCCAGAGTATCATTTCCCCAAATTTTTAGCCTTTTGTTCTTTAGTCTTCATCCTACAGCATCCTAGAGAAGTAGCAAGCCATTTACCCCATATTACATGTGGTCCTTTCTCTAGGGTAGGTTCCTTTTGGGGGAGGGGCCCTCAGCTTGTTTCTGAGTCACAGGCTCCTCTTTCCATGAACTTTCAGTCCTTCCAAGAGGCCTTACTTTTGGCAGGCTGATGGGTCAGAACCTACAGGCTCCTGGATCAGAATCTCCTGGTTCCTGCCTTGCTTTTGGCACAAGCTTTTCCCTAGGAGGTTTGTCACACAGCAAATCGCATACCCAGCATTAGGAAATGAATGCCATTACTTTGCTGGGTAGGCTCATGCTAGTGTGTGCCAACTGATGACCCAATTAAGCTTTACTTTTAATTTACAAGGTCCATCCACACCTTATGTCTTCCAGTAGATAGGAGCCTCAGAACTGACAAAATGCTTGTGAAACCTTAGTGCTATAACATATTTGTAACTCCTTGTGAGCCCCTCCCCAAAACATATCTAAAAAGACAGGCTGGGTGGCGTGGTCTCTGATGCAGCTTTTGAAAAATATGAGATGATCACCATCTTAAATTTATTCCGTTTCACTTCATTTCTGGAAGTGTATTTTTTTAACAATACAGCACATATCAATGTGCAAATCACACAGTCAGGCATGGTGGCATATGACTGTAATCCCAGCACTCAGGAGGCAGAGACAGGAAGATCACAAATTCAGGGCCAGCCTGGGATACCTAGCAACTTCCAGACCAGCTTGGGCTACATGAAATCTTTCTCAAAAAAAGAAAATAAACTTCAAACTTTTCTGATTAAAAAACTCTTTTTTCCCTGCCCCACACGCAAAAACAAACCCACTGCAATCTTCCCAGAATGACTGTCCTGTCTGTCATCAACACACCTCCACATTGTCACCACATTCTGAGAATGTTTATGGTGATGGCCAATAGGCCCTCCTTATTCTTGATGAGGAATACTTTGTGTCTTTATTTCTCTAATGTCCGCTGGGTCCCCACCATGTCCTCCCTAGGGATTCAGAGATGCATTTGTTTACTTGTTAATTTCCACAAGGTCCCAGGGAGGAAGGTCACCTCTACAGTGTGTGTCTGCTGTGGACACTCAATATGCATTGCAGGGAGCATGGTATGCATCTGGTATGAACCAGACAGTTATGTGAATAAATGCTGGGACTCGGAACAGGGAAGGCCCAAAGACTGCCCATCCTGCCCAGCAGCCCCAGGATCTACAGAGAAGGAGGGGGAGGGCTGTCCTGAAGTGCAGGAGCCTGGCAGGCATCAGGCAGTGGGCTGACTTTCCTGAGAGTGTCCTCCCAGAGGTGCCAGGGAAGAAGACTGCTGGAGGCCTCCTGATCGCTGAGCCAGAAAGGAAAGCAGAGAGCCAGACTGGAGGGCAGGAAGGAAACCTGTTGGACCGGGGAGTGACTGAACCGGCCTGAGTTCACAGGGCTCCTAGCACCAACTCAGGGCAGAGCAGGGGCCCCAGAGAGCTATGAAAATAGCAAGGGCACCCTGATTCTCAAGCTTCCCCAGAAGTAAGGCTGCTTAGAGAGGATGTCACTTGTCACTCAACATCCAGGCCTGGGGGGGGGGGGTGGCTAAGTGATCACAAAACATCCCCAAGAGCAAATGTCTACACAGGCAGTTTTCAACCTGTAGGTCATGAACCCTTTGGGGGTTGCATATCAGATAATTATATTACGATTCATTACAGTAGCAAAATTACAGTTATGGAGTAGCAATGGAATAGTGTATGGTTGGGGATCACCACAACATGAAGGCGGCTGAGACCCACTGCTCCAGACCAATCCCCTTAGATGCTGAAATTATTTTACAGATCCAAAGAATGCAAAGAGAAAATGAAAAGAATGCTTTTCCCACCCCGAGGAATCCACTCCCCAAAACATCTTCCAGCAAAATGAATGGTCAGGCCTGCACAGACCCCAGGCTTAAGCCAACATCTGTCTCCCTTATATCTCAGCCCTCTGTTGAATCAGCCCTCCAAATGCTGCTGCCCAGGACTGAGCACCTGCCCTTCCCAGCCCTGCGCCCTGCAGGGACAGCCCCCACATTCACTGAGGAGCACAATGATTTGTGTTCCCAGGTAGAAGATTCACCTGTGATTTGGCTGCTAGGAGCAACACAGGCAGGCAGACTGGAATGGATCCCTACAGCCCACCTACTGTATCACCAGGACTAGGCAGGACCCCGCTTGCTGCCTGGCACTGAGAAGGCCCACGAAGGAAAAGACTGAATGCCTGGGGTTGTAAACAGAAATGGGACAGTAATAAACAAATTAGAGGTGACCGGGGTGCACACAGGGCCTGCTGATGAATGAAACCCTGACCCTGGGCTGTCGGCCAGGGCCGTCTGAACCAAACCCAGGCAGGAAACTGCACACTTCCTGGTCTAGCCGCAGAAGAGCTTCCTTCAGCTCACCCCACCTACTTCCCTTACAGCAATCCAGAACATTCTGTGCTAGGCCAGGAGGCACCAGGGGCAGTTGCTGGGCCCCTCCTCCCTATCCTTCTCCCAGAACATCCAGAACAGGACATCCCAGACAGCCCCCAGCTCCAGGCCACCCTCCTCAGCTTCTGATCTACCACCACACTGAGCAGCCTTTGTCACCCTGGCTGGTGACATCTGCCTTTGGACCCAGGCTGTTCTCATCCGCCTCAGACCTGACTCTTTCTGATACATGGGCTGCAAGCCAAAGTCAGCAGGTGATGAGCTATGGGACTATGGCCTGGTGTGACCTCAGCCTGGTCACCCTGACTGCGAGTCCTGTACTCATCCCAGAAGAGACTCTTCAAGGGCAAGCATGAGCCACTCTTTCCTCCAAACTCCTTCACCAGCTCCCGAGCCTCCTGAAGTCTGCACACTGAGACTGGTGGTTCTTTATGATACGGTCGGTCCAGTTCTCCCTCCAGTCCCTGCAGGTCTTATCCATTACAGTTCAAATGGACTACACCATGAATCCAGTCTCCCTCTCCGCTGCAGCTCCATCTCAATGGTCCTGCCCCTGCTGGGGCCCACCTCAGTCTTTCACCAGCCCTTTCCTTTTCGCTGCATTCTAGAAGGCTGCTCCCAAGCTCAGCGGGCTGGGAGACTATTCTTCACTTCGTATTTTCCTTTATTAATTCATGCTTTTACTCAAGTTTGTTTTCAAAGGAGGCTTTCCATATTTACCGTAGGAAACACATCATTTGCATAAAGAGAGGCTAATGGGGGGATTTCTAATATACCTTAAAATACAAGGTCCTGGGTTAAAATTTCAGCATGGTAAAGCAAACAACCAGAGTAGCAAATCTATCGGCAGAATGCTTTAAAAGCCCATCTCTCTGGCACTTGAAGAGCTACACATATTCTAAGAAACACAGCTTTTCTCTGTGTATTTACTTTAGTCTCCGGGATCCTTGGGATTTTTCCCTGTCTCGTGGTTATCTGGGTGATTTTTTTTTTTTTTCAGTTTTATGCTCACAAGTGAACACCAGGCACAGACATCCTATTCCATCTCTCTCCTACACAGAGCTAGGCTTGTCAGAAGTATGCATCCAGCAGAGGAGTGTGACTTGCCGGCTGTCTAGCCCCATTCTCTGCTTGGTCCACCTGCTGTCCAACTTTCCACCAAAACCCAGAAGCCATTGCCCAAGAACCTGTCTTGTCCTTGGTGGACAGTAGTATGAAGGATGGTATAGACAGTATGCAGGCAGCGTCTGAGGCGGAGACTCCCGGCTGTGCTTTCTTTCCACTTCAAGCAAGTCTCTATGAACAATTTACCGAACACTTTCCCAGCATAGTGCACCCTTCCCCACAGCAAAGTCTGGAAAAGCCCCTGCAGGCACTAACCAGGCAAGACATACAAAAATTCCTTCCTGGGTCCTCAGAGTCCCAGAGCGAGAAGTACCTACCAGGAAGCAAAGGGCCCAGGCGAGAAGATTACACAGAGCCCCAGCAGAAGGAGGGCCTCCCTCCCTCCGGTGGTTGTCAAGGGCGACCCAGGTGCTGTACATCAACATTTGAACCACTCTGACTTAACTCAATAAGTAACAGCTCTGGTAGAAGGCCCAGCTGGAGCCAAACTCAGGCCTGGATTCTCTCCCTAGTGCAGGGAAGCTGGGCTGTGCATCCCACCAGGACTGTACCAAAGACCAAGACCCACAGTGACAGCAGCAGGCAGACAATTACAGGGTGTTTCCCATCCAAAGCAGGGCCCCGGTTGGGGGAAGGTTTACATCCTCTGGGGGATGTGTTTTCAGTCTGGACTCAAACAAATTGCAAAAAATGTCATTTTTTGAAATGGACTCTTGTTGTATAATCCAGGCTGGCCTTGAACCCAAGTCCTACTGCTTCAACCTTCCAAGCAATTGGAGTTATAAGCATGTCCCACATGCCAGCACTGAAGGGCTTGTTTGTCTGTTATTGTTAGAAAGGGCATAGATTCTAAACATTTCTCAAAAGTATTATCAGTTACGGTGGGACCTAAGCTGTGAGCATCACAGAGCCTCCCAGTCTCCAGTGGGTGGGGTCTCTGACTGTGATTTCTTGGGAAGAAGGTAAACTGAAGCCCTCATAATTTGACCAGTGCTATAGAAGGTCAGCCTCCCAAAGGCAGCCAGCAGAATAAAATGGCAATAGGACAGGTCTGGCGAAGAGAGAGCGTGGTCCAGTCAGATTCTGCATTAGAGGATGGAGGATGACAAAGGGCTCACTATTGACCTTTTCATAGCACAAACAATCTAGTAAAGGAAGAAAATGTTTTGATGGTAAAAGCACAGCGTCCTTATCCCCATGGAGATAAAAACAAATGTTGAGAAGAGAGACCAGGGCTACTCAAATGGGGTTCCAAGGAGCCCGAGGATGCTGATATGATTCAGGGATGCTGTGGTAGGCGGGAGAGGAATGGGCAGATTTCCAGCCCAACCAGAGAGCCATGTGTGGTGATACATGACTTAATACCAGCACTTGGGGGGGGGGGGGCGAAGTGGGAAGATTCTTGTGAGTTTGAGGCCAGCCTGATATGTACATTGAGTTTCCAGGCTGCATGGTAAGACCTTGTGTAAAAAACAAAACAAAGTAAAAACCAACCTCAGCCAGTACAACTCAGCCTTCCAGGTAAGACTCCATTTGAAGAAAAAGAGTCTGCAGTTTAGGATGTGATACATTTCAATGGGTTGGGATACAGCTCAGCAGCAGAGCCCTTCCCTAGTATGCAAAGACCCCAAGTTCCATCCCCAGCACAGAGAAACAAAAAAGAGGGAGGCAGTTTTGCTTGGCAGGCTGTGGGTTAAGAAGCTGGGCTAGGAAGGCAACCTCATGATGCTTATATGTAGGGCTTTTCCAGAGAGCTTAGATCATGGGGGTTCTGACTTACTGAGGGACTAATCCCTCCAAAGATTCAAAACCGGAAGGCATTAGAGTGAGCTGCTAAGTGGGAGGTGGGGCCTCACTAGAGGAAGAAGGCCCACAGGTTATGTCCTGGGGGATACATCTTGCCCTGGTCCCTTCCTGCATTGCCTTCCCCTCTCTATGCTGCCCACCAAGAAGTACTGCCATGTACTTCCACTGCCATGATGTTCCATCTATGGGGCCAAAGAACGGTGTGCTGAACTCTCTGAAACCGTGAACTCAGATAAACAAATCCCCCCTTTAAGTTGTTTTTCTTGGGTATTTGTTATAGCAGCAAGAGAAAATCAACTAACACTAAAATGGAGAGAGACAAACAAAAACTCAGTGAAGCACCTCGAGGGGGAGGGCGGAAGAAGGGAAGAAGTGGGGTAGAGGCCCCACCACAGTGATACCTGGAAGCAGTGGTAGGCATGTACTGAGCTCAGAAGTCATATGGGGGTGCCGTCCTTGTCAGGGCCCAGCCTGGCTGCTCTATCCCCTGCAAGGCCACCCACCAGTTGGGCCTGCTCACAAGCCACAAGTGACACCAACATCTGCTCAAGATCTGAGCCAAGATGAGCGTCCCAATGAGACTAATCCCAGCAAGGAGAGGTTCCAGAGGACACGTGGTGCTTGGGGCCAGTATCCTAGGACACAAGCATGTCAGGCAAAAGCTGCCCCACTTCCACCCCACCCCTGCACAGAGCTGCTTATTGCACATGATATTTCCATGCAAGGGAAGTAGATAGGAAAGCTAGGAGTACGGGAAGATGGGAAGCCTCCAAGAGAAGTCGACGATGCCCCTTACAGGAAGGTGTGAAGAGTGCTAGTATCACACTCTGTGTGAACCAGAACTGTGGGGATGCCACCACATTGCTAAGCAGCCTTAATCCTGCAGCACCAAGGTCCAGACAGCTATGCATTTTGGGCTGCAAAGACAATTCTACCTTTAGCAAAGCAAAGGCCAGCCTCTGCTGGCCTTATGTGATGGGCATCCATCTTGCCTGTCTAGTTTCCTTCTTCAGGGTTATGTAATCATGTCATCCTTTTGGAAAAGATAAACTGGCTCATGCTTCTTCCTTCTGAAGGGTGGACATGACTGAGGACCTATTAAAATATCCACCATCTTCCTCCCGTTGCTGGAGAGTGACTAGCTCAGGCCTGGGCATGTGAACCAGGTATGTCTTCCCTGGGTTACTGAGAAATATACCTTTTATGACAGTGAGCTCTGGTAATAGCCTCATGGGAAGTGAACAGTGGGTGGAGTGTGGGACATAAACGGTGCGGTGCCAACGGTGCTGGCGTGGGAAATCCTGCAGCCACCTTGCCACCTCTCAGAAACAGCCAGCCTGGAAATGATGCTTAGGGGAGCCAACAAATAGAGGTAAATATTCCTGAGGATACTGTTAGTCACTGAATGTGGCCAACCCTGACCCACTTTTATGGTTCTCAAGTTGCCAGGCTCATGGGGTCCCATTTTTTGCTTTAGGTAGTTTCAACTGGGTCCTTATTTGCAATCATGAACTCTGAGAAAAATCACCTATGCAGAACTGAGGAGGCGGTAGAACACACGTGCATGCTAAATTGATTCAGTCCAAGGGAGAGCCGTCTTCTCCTGCAGCTAACTGTCCTTTGAGACCTGGCTCAGCAGCACTCTGGCCCAGAGGGTCAGGGCAGAGACTACCTTCCTTCCGATCTCCAGTGTCCTTTCCTTGGCTGACTTTACTCTTCTGCTGTAGCCATGGGGTCCAAAAGGAGCCTTTGCTCCATGTGCTTTCTTTGTGGTCCCTGGGTGGTGCGTCTGTCACCTTGTGTGATCTACTCTCTTCAAATTATACCTGACTGTCTCCAATGATCCCCCAGAGAGATCTTGTCCCAGCCCATCCCAGACCTGGCCCATCTCCCAGCTTGTACACTGAGACTGTGTCATCTACCTTTGACCATCCCTGGTCTTCTAGATGCATCCAGAATGATCTTGAGAAAGAAGGAGCCTGGCCCACATGAACACCCCTTAGCAGAGTCCTGAGGGTTCCTGGTTTAACACACTGGGGCCAGGATCTGTCAGGCCCAGAATCAGAGCACCAGTCTCTGTCAACACTGCCTCCTCACCCTCTAAACAGAAAGGCAAATGCTAAATTACTTAATCTACGAATGTGCAAAGTTTGCAAGAAGGAGGCAAAGATGATAAACGACAATTCACATAGGAAAAATGAGTAATTTGATAATTAATATACATAGCAAATGAAGGTGCTAACTTAGTGACTGAGACATTTTAAAAAGCTCAGGAGATGCCTGGGAAGATGGCTCAGCGAGTGAAAATCACTTACCATGCAAGCCTGAGGACCTGAGTTTGAATCCTCAGAACCCACATAAAGGGCAGAAAAGCAGAGAAATCATCTATAATTCCAGAGCTCCTAAGGGGAAATGGGAGGCAGAGACAGGAGAATCCCTATATCGAAGTTACTTATCTCAATGCTGCAACAAAACTCCTGTTTGAATGAGACTGGCCCCCAAAGGCTCGCATGTTTGAATGCTTGGTTCCCATTTGGTGGGAGTAGGAGGTGTGGCCTTATTGGAGGGATATGTCCCTGGGAAGTGGGCTTTGATGGTTCAAAAACCCCCAGTTTCCCAGTTTAGCTCTGGGCCTCCTACTTGTAGGTAAGGATGTGAGTTCTCAGCTACTGCTCCAGCACCATGCCTGCCTGCCTCCTGCCAGGCTCTCTGCCATGATGGTTGTAACTTACCCTCTGAAACTGTAAGCCAATAAACTTTTTCTTCTGTAAGTTACCTTGGTCACAGTGTCTTATCATAGGAAAGGAAGACCCTAAAACACTGACAAGAAGCAACATATAAAAGGAAGAGTTTATTTTGGCTCACAGTTCAAGGGTCCAGTCCATCATGGTGGAGGATTGATGGCAAGAGCTGGAGGCAGCTGGTCACATGGCATCTACAGTCAGGAGGTGGAGGAAGATGACTGCTAATGCTCAGTTCACTTTGTTTTCTTTACACAGCCCAGGACCCAAGCCCAGGGAATGGTGCTGTTCATATTTGGGTGGGTTTTCCTACCTCAACTAAGCTAATCTATATAATCTCTCATATGCATGGCCAGAAACTAATATAATCTAAATGATCCCTCCCAAGTATGCCTGAAGACATATCTCCTCAGGGATTCCAAATCCTGTCAGGTTGACAATTAGTACTCAACATCAACCCAGGAAACTCACAGGTCATCTAACATATGTACCAAGACACTCTAGCCTAGAGTAGTAAGTGGAAAAACAACAGACCATGTCTCAAACAAAGAGGAAGGTGAGTGGGAACTGATACTCAAGGCTGGTACCTCTGAGCTCCACATGCATGCCACAGCACACCTACACCCACATTCATACACACAAATGAGTGTGCACACACACAACAGCTCAAGATAACTGAGTGTGGTGGAGCACGTCTGCAACCCCAACACCAGCAGGGTAGAGGCATGATGACCAGGTGCTCAAGGTCAGGCTTTGCTACACAGTGAGTTCAAAGCCAGTCTGGGCTACATGAGACCTTGTCACGAGAGAAAGGAAGGGACAGAGGACGAGGGAGA